CAATAATGGAGGCTGGGAAATCCTAAGATCTGCCTTTGGTGAGCTGGAGACCCGGGGGAGCTGTTGGGTAAGTCCCACCCTGAGTCTGAGTCTAACGTCAGGAAGAGGCTGATGTCCCAGCTTCAGACACAGAGAGAAAATTCTCTTGCTCAGTCTTCCTGTTCTATTCAACCTTCAGTGGATTGGATGAGCCTCACCCCTCCATACCCCCCCTCCCCCATGGCAAGGGCGATCTGTTTTACTCACTCAACCATTGCAAATGTCAATCTCATCCAGAAACACCCTCACAGACACACCCAGAATTGTGTTTAACCAAATATCTGGATACCCTGTGACTCAGTCAAGTATACACATAAAATTAGTCATCCTAGCTAAGGGGCATATAAATCGTGAACAAATGGAAAAAAACATTTTATTTGGAAGACTCAACATTTAAAAGATGTCAATTCTCCTTAAACTTATTTATAAAATTAACACAGTCCCAATAAAGAATCCAACAGTATTTTTGGGAATTTGTCAAGCTAACTCTGAATTTCACATGGTAAAATGCACAAGTAGGAGTATCTAGAATATTCTGGAGAAAAGAAGCCCTATCATGTCCCAGAATATATGAATGAGCTCCCAACAACCTTAGCAGTCCTGCCCCCACTGTGCTTCATCTGTTTTTGTCCTTCAACCTCACTGCCTTCTCTCAGACCCTTGAGCACACAGGGTGTATGTCTGCCACAGGACCATTGCTTATTCTTTTTGCTCTTGGAATGATGTGTGTTGCCCCTGCTTCAATACCCTTTGCCTTTTTTAATTCCTACCTAATCATCACTTTTTTTAGGGAAATCTTTCCTTCCCACTTCCCGAGTCTTAAGCCACTGTCCTTTGTTATCTGCTTCATTCTCTCCTCCCTTGCATTCATTTCAGTTTGTAATTATTCAGTCATTAATGTGGTTGTTTGATGAATGATGTTTTTCTTTTGAGACAGTAAGCTCAGTGCCTGACCCAGAGTAGGCCTTCAGTAAATATTATTGATAATCTAGAGGCCCAATGCACAAAGATTCGTGCAAGAATAGGCCTTTCTTCCCCTGGCTGCCAGCTCTGACTGGAGCCTCCTTTCTGCCTACCCACACTGCCCAGAGGCCCTGAGCAACTGGGGCAGTGCAGAACACCTGTGTCGTTACCATGGCGAAGACACAAGCATCCTGACCCTGTCCGCTCAGTGCCTTGGCATGCAAATTAACCCACCATCTTTGTTGGGTTAATTTGCATACTCACTCCTGATTAGCTGGTGGGAGTCATGAAAGTATGGTCAGTTTGCAGCTTTCTCTTTTATTAGTGTAGATAATCTCCAGTCTGCTGGACGTTGACCTGGCAATGGTCTTCTAAACCCATTAATTTCATCTTTGTAATTTAGGCCCTGATCCAGTATCAGAAGCAATGACATCTCCATGTGTAGTTTCTTTCACCAATGGACATTTGAAGATGTTAATGCTTCTGGTAGTGTCTGCATTAGATTGTAATTTCCTACAATGAAGGGCCATGTCTGAACTGTCTTCTGTGGCTTTCAATAGTATGTTCAATGGACACACTGTATTTTCATAAGAAGGAAATGTAAAATTTTGGTATACTACAACACTGCCTGAAAAATGACGCTAGTCACTGGAAGAGATAATCATAGTATTGAAGAACTTATTTTCTTTCTTTTGTTTTTAAAAATACGTTTTTGTTGATTTTGAGAGAGAGAGAAAGGGAGAGAGAGAGAGATAGAGATAGAGATATTGATGAAAGAGGAACATCATTGGTTAGCTGCCTCTTGCACACCCCCTACTGGGGATTCAGCCTGAAGTTGCGGGCATGTGCCCCGGGCTGTGAATTGAACTGATGACCTCTTGGTTCCTGGGTTGATGCTTTGCCGTCGAACAGCACTGATGAGGCCGAACATATTTTATTATTATTATTATTATTATTATTATTTATTTATATATATTTAATATATTTTATTGATTTTTTTTGCCCCCCTTCCTCCTTCCCATACATACCTTCCCCCCCCAGAGTTTTATATCCATTGGTTGTACTTATATGCATGTATACAAGTCCTTCAGTTGATCTATTATCTCCCCCTAGAGACGAACGTATTTTTATTTTTTTTATTTGAATATATTTTATTGATTTTTTTGCCCCCCCCCCTCTCTCCCTCCCATATATACCCTTCCTCCCCAGAGGTTTTTTTTTTTTTTTTTAATGAATTTTATAAATTGTGTGCCAAGCATATTAGAGTTCCAACTTCTCCTCAGTGACCCAGGTCCTTATTACACAGGGCAGATTTCAGAAAATATTGCTGTGGTGGTTAGGGCGGAGAAGTTGCCCTGAAAGCTGAGTGAGGCCGAACAGGATGTGGTTCTCTTATTAGACGCAGTTAAAAGTTTTATGTCTTCTCCCCAGGAGCACATACCTACCATCCTTTTGGATGTGTTGTGATTGGCACGCATTGGCTGTTCCTAAGTGCACCGAAGGTTTTGTTTGGCATGTCCTGGCCTGAAACACACCGGCCATGACAACGCTTGTTGGAAAGTGAAGGGCTGTAGAATGGCATTTGCATTCATGAGTATTTCCAAACAGTAGTCTTTGGCGGTTGAGTGGCTGGGCAGTCATAAACAGGTTTTACTGGTGTGTCCCCTGAGCCCACTTGGATAATTCCAGGAAATCCTCCTTTATGTGACCTCTTTCAGATCCCCTTAAAACGGGTGGCTTTCCTGTATGCCTTCCCCAAAGACCACAGGCCCTGGAACCTCCGTGGAGGCGGGCGTGAGTGTCCGCTCAAGCTGAAGGAAGCAGGGTGATGGTGTGGGTGCCACACAGGACCTTGAGTGCCACACAGACCAGACCCATCAGGTCTGCTCTGCAGATGTGTTTATTTGGGTCACACGGTGCTTCTCTTTTAAACTTAAAGTTAGCTGCCACGCTGCAAAAACTGCAGGCTTTTACTTCCAAAATCTGGGTATAGGGCTTGTCTTGAAAAATTGGGGCAGTTTGGCCATGCTGGGGGTCTGTGTTTCTGCACTGGCCCCCACCAGCTGTGGGCAGTTCCTTTCTTGATGGAGAAGGACTCCTCCGGTGACCCAAGTCACTTCCATGGTCCTGACAGAGATGGAGAATGAAGAGCAGAATGAATCATCACCGAGGAAACTGCCTCCCAGTCCCAAGTGACGTGCCAAGGCGTCTCTCCTGTCTGTTCTTTGTATGGGCGCTGGTCAGAGACCAAATGGTATTTGAGCAGAGGGGCAAGGGGCAGCACGGGGTGGGGGTGTGTGTGGAATTTCTAAAGGGACATAGGCCAATTCTCAATGCCTTCCCAGGGGGGCACATCCTTCTTTCTGGGCAGCCTCCTGCCTCCTGAGCATTTTGGGGGTGAGCATGAAATGATCTGAGCCGAGCACGCCTCTAGGCAGCGTTCCGACACACGAGGACGCGTCTGTATTCAATCTCGCTCCGCACAGCTGCACAGGAAGGTTGTTTTCACTCTCCTCTCTGTTTTGTCTTCTGGGGAACCCTATCAGGAGATTTACGACCATCTCTTGGAAGCCCCAGCCACTCGGGAGCAATTAAACCACTATCGGAATGTGGCCGAACACGCCCGAAGTGAACTTGCAGCAACTCTGGTCAAATTTGAATGTGCTCAGTCCGAGGTAAGCGTATGTGTCTTCCCAACTCAGAACTGGGACTCTCAGCCTCCGGTGGAGGAAAGCAGAGCAGAGAGGCGACTACCAACAGGACAGCAGGCCACAGATTCAAACCTGCTGATTCTCTTCCTGTGTGCCTAGCTCCCGGTTGTGGAGGGTTCCTGAAGGTTATGCATTTGTCATGCTGCTCAGCAAGGCGGCGGGGCTGCCTTCTCTGAGCGCCCCTGAGCTCTCTGGGTTGCAGCTGCCTGGCTTTTGGAGGGCCGTTAGCTTTTTCTGGAACATGTCCCTTTAAGGTGGATTGCTTGCAGGCTGGAGCCCATAGGAGGGTATTCTAAAGCTCTTTCTTGTGACAGTTCTGATGGTGGAAGAAATTCTAGCAAGAGGACTGGAGTCCCTCTCCCCTCCGGGCTGGATCAGGTCCACTGTGGAATTTCTGCTCACAGCCTGGTGGCTTTGAGCTTGAGGAGCCTGTGGGCTTGTCTGTGAGGTAACTACCGTGTTTCCCCCAAAATAAGACATCCTCCGAAAATAAGACCTAACGCATGGAAAGATAAGACATCCCCTGAAAATAAGACCTAGCGCATCTTTGGGAGCAAACATTAATATAAGACACTGTCTTATTTTCGGGGAAACAGGGTATCGGTTGCACTAGGCTGCCAGGACCTTACTGAAAAATGAGTTGCTAATGTATTTGGGAGGAGAGAGAAAGAGGAAGAGAGGGAGAGAGGGAGAAAGAGAAAACTTATGTGCTGCACATGCTCACAGTTCCAAAGAAGTACATGCATTTATAATGGTTTCTTATAGGGTGGGCCTGATAGCATAACTTAACAGGGCACATATATTGTGCAGTATTCTGGCGCCACACACTTCATAGAAGTCAAACTGTTTCCTCTGTAGGAATCCTGTAAGGGAAGCGGTTGTGGCCATGAAATTACAAACAGCATAGCATGCAGGCTCCTTGTTTCATTTCAGCAGCAATAGCAGGAATATGGATTTAAGAAGTGGGTCACCATTGCAAAATATTTTATTGCCTTTTGCAAAACACACCACACATATCTCTGGAGTGAGACTACATTACCACAAGGCATTGCTCAATTGGTTTTGAAAAAAAAAAAAAGCAATAAAACAGAACATGAAGTCTGTTATTAAGGCACAAGTTCCCATCTGGTCATACAGAGGCATACATGAAGAAACGAAAGGAAAGGTGGATGAGGTCATGAATAAAAATGCAATTACAGTTTTGGGTTTCTTCAAACTTATGCCATTGAAATCCTTTTGGTTTTTCCATTTCTTTTTCATATTAAGCTTCGAGACCTCCGGTCCAAAATGCTTTCTAAAGAAGCCTCCTGGCAGGAACTGAAAGCTGAGATGGAGAACTACAAAGAGAACAACGCGAGAAAGTCATCTCTTCTCAGCTCTCTGAGAGACAGGGTCCAGGAGCTGGAAGAAGAATTGGCAGCCCTGTCCGCCTCCAAAATGAGGACCGAAATCACGGCTCACGCCGCAATCAAGGACAACCAGGAGCTAAAGAGGAAGGTGGCAGAACTAGACGAGGAATTACAGTAAGGGTATTTTAGTGTATTCGTAGTAGAGTTTGTTTAAAATACTAGCCTCTGATGGCAAGGCGCGCCTTTGAATGTTCCTGAGAGCTCGCATTAACCTGGAAACTCAATTTGGAAAAAAAAAAAATTACTGACCTCAGGTTCAGAGATGTTTGGAGTCTTAACATTCCCCCCCAAGTTCATTTCTAAATGTCACCAAGAGTCTTAGCAAACAGCATGTCCTCATCATGTGTAGGGCTGTGCATGATTCTAGATACAATTTGGAGATTTCCTCTAAGCAGAGGTTTAACCAGAGGTGGAGGTGGTGGAGTCGTGCACAGACCCCCCAAACACTCCTCATTCAGTCTTTTTTTAAAAAAAATAAAAAATAAAAAAAATATATTATTGGTTTTTTACAGAGAGGGAAAGGGATAGAAAGTTAGAAACATAGACGAGAGAGAAACATTGATCAGCTGCCTCCTGCACACCTACTGAGGATGTGCCTGCAACCAAGATACATGCCCTTGACCATAATCGAACCCGGGACCTTTCAACCTGCAGACGAACACTCTATCCACTGAGCCAAACAGGCTAGGCCCTCATTCGGTCTTATGGCCAGTGTATGCAGAGCTCATGAAATCTAGGTTCTCCATACACTCGGCTCTAGTGAAAGGTTATAATCAGGAAAAAACTGAGAGCTAAATATGCTTTTAAATTTTGTGTGTAGTAATTTTACTAATAAAATACTTGGTATTTATTTGACTTAGTCTATCTTGACAAAAAAAAACACACACACACACAAAACCCCCCCCCCCCCCCCCCACACACACACTTCCAGATCTGGTCCTTTTTCTTCCTCTCCTTAGAGCAAAACTCATTAAAGTATTTGTACATACTCACTTCAGACTTCTCTCTCCTTCTCTCTTGGATCTACCCCCACTGAATCCACTCACTCAGCTGGCCAGGGAGCATACATTGCAAATGAAACGATTTAGTTTTTATCTTACTTGACCTGTCAGAACATCAGTCACCGTTGGTTTCCCCCTGAAACTCTGTCTTCTTTTGGCTTTGAGGACTACACATGCCCACTCTCTCCCTGACCCTTCTGCCTGCTCTGTCATAGCTTTTGCCCTTTCCTTCTCATCTCCTTGACTTCGGAATATTGGAGTGCCCCAGGCTCAGCCCAGGAATCTCTTCAGGTTTCTAAGTCACTCTCTTGGTAACCTCTTCTAGTCTTATGACTTTAAGAATGATCTAAATGCTAGTGGCTCCCTCATCTCTATATCTAGCCCGGATCTCTCGCCAGGATTCAAGACCCACACAACTCACGTGGCTGTCCAACAGGCATCTCAGACTTCATGTGTCCAACACTGAGATCCTGGCGTCTCCAAGGAATGCTCCTGCACATTTTTTTTCGTTGCATTGAATGATAAGCTCATTCTTTTAGTTCCATGGTCGGCAAACTATGGTTCGCGAGCCACATGCGGCTCTTTGGCCCCATGAGTGTGGCTCTACCACAAAATACCACAGCCTGGGCGAGTGTATTTTGAAGAAGTGGATTTAGAAGAAGTTTAAGTTTAAAAAATTTGGCTCTCAAAAGAAATGTCAATCGTTGTACTGTTGATATTTGGCTCTGCTGACTAATGAGTTTGCCGACCATTCTTCTAGTCGATCAAGTCAGAAATCTCACATCATCCTTGGCCTCTTTCTTTTCCTTATTCTGTGTCTGATCCTTCAGTAAATCTCATAATCTATTTCTACCTTCAAAATATATCTAATCTTCGACAGCATCCAACTGACTCTCTCATTGCCACGAACCTGGTCCAAGCAACTATCACCTGTCACCTGGATTGCTACAGTAGCCTCCTAAGTGGTTTTCCTGCCTCTGCCCGTGCCCCACCCATACAGCCAGAGTGATCCTGCAAAAACACAAATTAGATCCTACAAGTCCTCTGCTCAGAGTCCTCCAATGACCTCTCTTCTCACCCAGAATAGAGACAGCATTTTCTAAGATCTATCAGGCCCATCCTGACCTTATCTGCTTCCATCCTCTCCTCTATCCTTTCCCTCCCAGATGTCTGGCTTCTTTGCTGACCCTTGAACACACCAGTGTGAACCTGCCTCAGGACGTTTGCACTTGCTGATCCCTTTCCTAGAAAGCTTTTCCCCCACATAGTATCTGGCTTCTCTGCCAACGTTAGGTCTTCCTCAAAAGTCACCTTCTCAGGAAGCATTTGAAATCTTACTTCCTGGCATTGTCATCCGTTTTGGCTCAAATAAACTCTTATAAGTTTTTTTTTAATTTTATTTTTAAAAAGTCACCTTCCCAGGGTGGGCTTCCATGAGTGAGCAGGTCTAAAATGTTACCCCACTCTCCCCAAATATATCTTACCTTCTCCTGCTTAATTTCCCCCCATTCAGTCTTTTTTCTAATATTCTATATATTCTACCCACATTAATATTTTGTTTATTGCTCATCTTCCCTTCTAGAACAGAAGCTTCATGAGGGCAAGGATCTTTGTTTTGTTTACGACTGTATCTTTAGCTCCTTTAATAGGTACTCAAAATCGACATGCAGTGAGTATCCATGAGCATTCATATTCCACACTTCTGTGCTTATGTCCTTAGGATACACTCCTGCAACTTTGCTGGCTAAAAGTGGAATGCACATAGGAGTGGTGAGATTGGAATAGAGAAGTGAGATTGAAATCTCAGGGTTTATATGTGGAATCGTCTATATAAATCAGTCAGAGCTATAGTATTAATTGTGCCTTTCATGAGTCAGGAGACTGGCTACATACTACCTCCCATTTGCTGAAAATAAGAACAGAGCGAGAGATTGATGTAGGTCTTTGATTGTTATACATTTTTCTAAATAGGAATATGATATGCTTTTGAGTCTATGCAATTACATGCTTTGTTAATCTTTGAATGGAGGGAAAAGAATATGCAGTAAACACTCAACATGGCAGAAAGGGAAAGCAATAATCATGTTTATTATCTAGAGTTGTAAAAAAATGGTACGAAATTACTGAAATGATTTTAATTTGCCTTTAAAATATGTCTATTTTTTGAGGATCTCTTAGTCTCTAAGTGTTAAAGCATGAGAAATAGATTGTGTTATCTCAGCAAACCTACCCGAGATTTGAAATCAAGTATTTGTAGCAGAACATAAATTGACTTATTTTCCTTGACTGACCCCTTCCAATATGCTTTACAACTTCTAGGTGTGTGAGAATTAATAATGATCTTTTCCACAGGTGGGAGCACCCCTGCTTCTGATATACTTTTTAATTTTTATTTATTTCAGAGTGGAAGGGAGAAGGAGAGAGGAGAGAGAAACATCAGAGATGAGAGAGAATCATTGATCAGCTGCCTCCTGCATGCCCCACACTGGGGATAAAGCCCACAACCCAGGCATGTGCTTGGGAATTGAACTGGACCTCTTGGTTCATAGGTTGACGCTCAAGCTCTGAGCCACGTTGGCTGGGCCTGATGTACTTTTTGTTATATTTATGCTTGGCCATGAACTAGGGAATGCTGGAAATAATCCTTCTAAAATAAGCTTGGTGCCCTAGAACCAATGTGTCAGCCCTCTCCTGCTCCCCTCCGCCCCTCTTCCCCTGAGGCCCCAACAGAGACCCATGGGGTTGTGTACACCCTAGGAGGTTGGGGACAGCTGACAGAGAATCTGTCTGTCCCCCTTGCTGCTACTAGATCTAAGATGCCAGGAAGATTTCCCTACATTTCTGCAGAGTGTAGATGCCTCGGAATTGCTTCCACTTTCTCCTTCCTTTACAGGGTTTGCATGGCAGTAATGTGCTCTGTGTCTGGGGAACTATTGTGATGAAAGGGATGCTTTCCTATAAAGATCTTAAGTTACGGACTTTGTTTGATGACTTATTTGCTATTTGCCCGATAGAAAGTGTGTAAAGAAAAACGAGGAGAATAAGAATCAGATGTCGAAGAACTGCAAGGAACATGAGGAATTTCTAGCTTGTCTCCGGGACTGCTTAGATCCGGATAAGAAGAATGAAAGGATATCAGATGAAGATTTAATTCTAAAGGTGTTTGTATGCATATGAAAAAAGATATTTAGGGGTCATTTTGACATGTGCCGTGAAAAGAAAAGCTGTGGCTGAGTCTGAGGGTGAAGAGCGAGCGAATGGGACAGAGCCCAACTGTAGCGTTGACTGAGCGTGTGACCCGGGACAAACCATGTCATCTCTCCGAGGCTCAGTTCCAAGATCCTTCCTAGCATTTTGGGGGATTAATTATTCTCCAGAAGGGATTGCGTTTATCTAAAATATACTTAGATTGTCAAATACAATGAGTTATTCATTTCAATGGTGTGTTTTAGGGAAGATTTTTGTTTGTTTTGAGTTAAGACAGAAACACACATACACCAATAGCAAAAGCAGTGTGTGTCCCTTTTGGGATATTTCTTGAGTCTAAGATTAAGATGAGTTCCAAAGAAATATTTAACATTATATTAAAGCCCCAGAATAACAATCCTACTTTAATGGTGGGTTGCCATTAGGATGGAAATTAATCATATCAACTGCATAGGTCACTTGGTCCTGGAGGTATTCAGGACCTTTCTATGCTTGCCTCCATTCAGAGAAGTTGTTTTTAAAAGTCCTGCTTTCTCTCTGTGTTCTCTCCTGTGTCGGGCTGCGCCTTGCATGGCGCAGGTGCCTTTTTTCCCACCATGCCCATGGCCGTGGCTGCTGTCACCTTGCAGATCATCACCTTCCCTCAGCTCTTTAGACATCAGGGTGCTTGCCCTGTCTGCCAGCTTTTAGCTGAGCTCTCATCACTGTTCACAGGGATTAATTTTAATTTGCCCACTGGGTCCGCCCTGAGTTCAGAGGCAGCCTTGGCCCATGTGACCATAGAGTGGATGGAGGGGTAGAGCTTCCACAGTTTGCATGGGACAGTGCAGTCGTGGGGCAGGGGGAGGGACCTGGTGGCCCAAAGAAAGTGGTGGGAACCTGTCATTTCCGTGGGACAGCTGCGATTGCTTTCTCTCCAGCTCAGGGAGCTGTGCACGGAAAACACGTCCCTGAAAGGACAGCTTGTTACTCTTGAAGAGGCCGTGAATGTCCATGAGGTGGAGGCCAAAGCCAGCCGAGAAACCATCATGCGGCTGGTTTCCCAGGCCCACAGGGAGCAGAAGAGAGCCGCCTCCTGTGCCCAGGAGAGAGCCGGGCTGCAGCAGGTACAGCGTGGGAAGTGGGTGCGCCTCGGGGGGGTGGGGGCAGGTGCCGGAGCAGAAATGGGAAACTGGAGGCAGGTGGCACCCCTGTTTCACAGGCTGGGCTCCGGGGCGGCGCCGGCAGGGGCTCAGGGCTCTGAGGGATCTTGTGAGGTGTAGCTTAGAAAATGAGGACAAAAAGAAATACTTAAAAGTACAGGGTTCATGGAGAATGTCTGACTTTAAGCATTTATGTTTTTGAACCAGATGTACAATTTTAAACGGACACAATAGTATATGGTGAAAAATGTTCCCCTTACCCACTGCCTCCAGCCACCCGGTTGTCCTCAGAGGCAACCTCTGTTAACGGTTTCTTCTATACCTTTCTAGAACCATCCCACATACACGTGTGCATATGCTTACTCTTTTTTAAATTTATTTTTAACAAGGGCAGCATATTCTGTACACTGTGTTTTTCTCTTAACACAGGCAATACACTATATGTTATCATAAACAAGGGTGCTATCAATAATCTTGTATCTTGTGTGTGAGAATACATCAGTAAGACAGACTCCTAGAAGCAGACTTGCAAGGTCAAAGAATATGGGTACTATAATTTTGAGACATGTTGCCAAAGGAAAGGGGCTCTTAATTCTAAATTTTTATTTTTATAGTGAGTTGCTTAATCTTATCCAATAGCTAGAACCTGTTTAAGCATGAGAATTAATACTGTAAATCCTTTAACACTATATAAACCTTTAATTGTATTTTTAAAATTTTGTGACAATTCTGGGATTAATAGTAATGATTAAGGAGGAGGGTGGGTAGGTGGGAAGAGATCAAAGTAAGAACATGTATGTATATAGGCATAGCCCATGGACACAGACAATAGGGTGGTGAAGGCCTGGGGTGGGGGGTTGGGGTGAGCTATGAAGGACCAGTGGGGGGTGGGGGGGAAGGAGGCACCTGTAATACTTTCAACAATAATAATAATAATAAAAAAAGTAATGATCAAATTCTAAAAGCAAAAATGAGCTGAGTGCAGTTACTAAAATATAGAGGGGATGATTAAATAGTCAAGGGGATGGAATTTTGAATTAGATAATGAGTGATGCTTAAAAAGACAGGATCCATGAGGGGCCAAGGTCCAGTGGTCTCCCACAGGCTCAAAAGGTTCTGGACCGGGGTGCAGTACAAGGAGCAATTCCTGTGGGATCTCCCTGCGGGCCTTCCATGCCTCCAGCGGTCACTGCCAAGCTGGGTGAGATGGGTGGTTGGAATGGGAAACGATCCACAGTAATGATGATACTTTCCATGCCCGCCCTTCCCAATTCCCCGCATCACAAATCCCTTCTTACCACGGGATTTCTTCTCCTGACACATTAGCTTTGCCGAAAGGAGCAAAGGTTTTGTCCTTGTTACCAAGTAGCTTCAATCATTTCAAGGCCCTTGTGTTAGTCAGCGTGGGGCGCCATACCAGATACCGCAGACTGTGTGGCTCACACAGTGGGCATTTATTTCTCCCAGTTCTGGAGGCTGGAAGAGCGAGATGAAGGTTCCTGGTGAGAGTTGTCTTCCTGGCTTGCAGATGACTGCCTTCTCGTGGTGTCCTCACGTGGCAGAGAGGGAGAAAGCTGTCGGTGTCTCTTCTTTTCCTTTTAAAAAATGTTAATTGACTTCAGAGAGGAATGGAGAGGGAGAGAGAGATAAAAACATCAATGATGAGAGAGAGTCATTGGGTGGCTGTCTCCTGCATGCCCCACACTGGGGATCGAGCCTGCAACCCAGGCATGTGCCCTGATTGGGAATTGAACCGTGACCTCCTAGTTCATAGGTCGATGCTCAACCACTGAGCCATGCTGGCTGGGCTACTCCAACATTTTCTTATGAAAAAACTTAAGTATACACGGAGTGGACAGATTATTATGACCACCCCATCAGTACTTTGTTGGGCTACCTTTTTTGCTTTCAATACTGTGATTCTTCTCGGCATTGACTCCACGAGATGTTGAAAGGTGATTCGAGAAATCTGACACCATACCTGATGAATAGCACTGCCCAGTTCTGTGAGATTTGATGGTTGTGGAATCAGCTGCCTGATGGCTCTTTTAACTTCGTCCCACAAATGCTCAATTGAATTGAGATCTGGTGATTGTGGGGGCCACCTAAGCAAGGTAAAGTCTTCCTCATGTTCTTGAAACCATTCCTGTACAATACGAGCACCCATGGCACATTGTCTTGTTGGAAGAAGCCATTTCCATTGGGATATACCATCAACATAATACGATAAACTTGATCAGCAACAATACTTAGGTATGCTGTACTATTCAGACATTGGACCACACAAATTAAAGGGCCCAAATTATACCAGGAAAAAATGCCCCAAACCATAACATTGACCCCACCAGCTTGAAGGGTTTTACTCATGCATGTGGGGTGCATGCTTTCATGCTGTTTCCCCGAAATTCTCACTCTGCCATCTGCATGATGCAACTGGAAACGTGATTCATCAGACACATGACTTTTTTCCAATCCTTGACTGTCCAATCCTTGCGTTCCTGTGCTAACTGGAGATATTTTATCTTGGAAACTGCAGACAGCAACGGTGTTCGAACAGGTTTTCAGCTTCCATATCCCATACGATGCAATGTATGGCTAATTTACCTACAAACGTCAGGTGGGTCATAATAATTTGGCCACTCAGTGTATAGAAAGAGTGAAAGAATACAGTGAGAACCCATCACCAAAATATAACACTTGTTAGCATCTTGATATATTTGTTTTATTACTTTACACACACACACACACACACACACACACACACACACACACACACACACATTTGGACAACCATTCGAAAATAGTTTGCAGATGTTATATGTATTGTTTCTACTTATTTCAGCATATGATCATAAGAGTAAGGACACTAGCCTACATAACCACAGGGCCATTTTTGTATCTCATAATTAACAATAAGGTCATGAGATCATCTGTGGTGGTTCCAAGCCCACAAGATTTTTGTCCTCCTCCCCTGAGATGTGGAATTTAATTTCTCTCCCCTTGTGTGTGGGCTGGACTAAGTGACTCACTTCCAGGGACTATAATATGTCAGAAGTGTTAGGATGTCACTTTTGAGTTGATTTATAAAAAGACTGTGACTTCTATCTTAGACGCACTCTTTTGATCTCTCTTTGATGGGAGCCAACTGCCATGTGGTGAGGCCACTCAGCCAGCCTGTTGGAAGGCCCATGTGGCCAGGAACTGAGGCCTGTCAGCTATCATGTGAGTGATCATGGAGGCAAATTCTCCTTCAGTGGAGTCTTGAGATGACTGTCACCCTGATCAACACCATGACTGTAACACTATGAGAAGTCTTTAGTTAGAAACACCCAGCTAAGTCATGCCCACATTCCTGACCCAAGGGGACTGTGAGATGATAGACATTTGTTGTATTTAGCCCTAAGTTTGGGGTTATTTGTTATACAATAACCAATAATCATCTAATATTCTACGTCCAGCTGTCATCACTCTATAAAAATCTCTTTTATAGCTGTTTTCGTCCCCACATTTGGATCCAATCTCTGGTTTACTCATTGCATTTGTTGATTATTTTTAGCCTTTTATAGTTTTGCTTTTTTATAAAATAGCATTGACTTGTTGGGGAGAAGTGCTCTGACTGTATTTTCATGATACTGTTTAACTTGTTCTTCTCTACCCTATACACTTAAAGTTGTGGCTAGAGTCTGGATTGGATGCAGAGAAAACCTTTTTAGTAAAGTTGTATGCTTAATAGTGCTTTACATTGGGGGGTAAACGATGTAGAATGTTCCATTGTTGCTGACACTAAGTTTATTGCCCATTTCTCTAGTGTGAAGGTATGCTTTCACATAAGGTATCTGTGGGGTAATAATTGGCAGGTGAATTCTGTTCCCATGGACTTCACCCAGTGACGTTAGCATCCATTGATTCTTGCCTGCATTACACCAGGGGTGGTGACAAAGTGGTAATACTCTTATTTTACCATTCTACTTATTAGCTGGCATTCTTCTGTATAGAAAAGCTCTTAATTTGTTTTCTTTCCTTTTTTTTTCCATCCTATAGACACCTGGATTTTTACCTATTTCCTGTGTTGAAACCAATTCTTCTTGTGTGTGCTCAAAATCTATCACATTTGGCCAGCAGGAGCCCCAGAAAGATGGTCTCTGTAGCTTGTAGCCTGACTCCTTAGTCTTTCATCGCTTCCTTGCTTTCTGACAGAAGCTGCTCCTTCGGTCACTTGCAGTTTTCAGACTATAGAACTCAGATGAGCCTGTTTTCTAAGGACCTTTGTTTCCTCTTGCTGGTGAACGGCGCTTAGAAATAAGATTTAGGCTTTGTAGGTTTGCTGCTGTCGAGGGTGTTACTGCTTTCAATGGACAGATCTAGAAATACATTTTTAGTAATACATTTATAGTGTATCCAATTTATTTTTTTAAAGAAATTTATTTGGGTGAATTGGTTCATAAAATTATATGGGTATACAGTTCTGTGATAACGTTATTTGTATATTGTATTGTTGGCCCACCACCCAAAGTCAGATCTTATTCTGTCACTATGTATTTGACCCCTTTATCTTTTACTAACCTCCCGCCCCTCTTCCCTCTGGTAACTACACACTGTTGTCTGTGTCTATCATTCTACGAAATACGTCAGACAGAGAAAATCAAGAACCATATGATTTCACTCATATACGGGATATAAAACTGAAAGAAACAAATAAACAAATAAGAAAGACAAATAAAAACTCATAGTCTTATTAAAAATTTTATTTTATGCTGAAACCGGTTTGGCTCAGTGGATAGAGCGTCGGCCTGTGGACTGAAAGGTCCCTGGTTCGATTCTGATCAAGGGCATGTACTCAGGTTGCAGGCACAACGCTAGTAGGAGTTGTGCAAGAGGCAGCTGATCGATGATTCTCTCTCAGATGTTTCTAACTCTCTATCCCTTTCCTTTCCTCTCTGTAAAAAAAAAAATCAATAAAGTAA